AAGAATATGATGCTTTGTTTAACTATGTTTTTTATTATCTTTAAAACAATAGTGAATAGATATAATCTATTTCTTGTTAAGATATAAAATTCAATTATTGAGTAAATATTTACATGTTTTATATGCCTTTACAAAAGTAAATTATATATATTTTGAACAAAGAGAATATGTATTTTTTATTGAGTGTTGGTATGTTATAAGAATGAATAAATTTAAAGAATAATATGTATGAATTTAAAATATATCATCATTTTATACTATTTCCTAATTCTACTGTATCTTTTATATTGTATAGAATTTGTATATTCTTAAAAATATTTATATCAATTTACTGATGATTTTATTGATGATTTTTAATCTTATAGTTAATATTGTTAATTATTTTATTGCGTTATATATGCAATGTGTATTTAATTTTTTAAATATAAGTTATATGAATAAAATTGCAAGATATTGATTTAAATAGTTGATAAAATGATATCGACGGATGAAATTAGAAATTTCTTTATTACCGACTGTTTATTTTTTCTTTTATCTTCAAGATATTTTATAAAATTTGCGCATTATTATTATTGTTGTTGTTGTTGTTGTTGTTATTGTTATTCTTGTTGTTGTTATTATAGATATATATTTTATTTATGAATATTGAAAATTATATATTATTACAATATTTGTATTATTTCAATATATTGATAAATTATATATGGCAAAAATAAAAGAATTATTTCTGTAAATATCTTTAATATAGCGTTTTATTGAATATATATAAAAAAATATATATATAAAAAAAAGTACATGTTTCAAAAATTAAGTTTTATTACATTTTTCATAAAATCATTTTCAAAAAAGTTGATTAAAAGATATTAATATATTTTTCAATATGTAATTTTTTGAATAGTTTCAGAATTTATGTTTATTATTCATAGTATTGAAGATACTATGAATTTGAAAATGATATTGCAAATATATTTAATATTTTTTGATATAATTTTATAAATTTTATAATTATATAAATTTATATTTATGAAAATATTAATATAAATTATGATTATTTTGAGGAATTCGCATATAGAATATGTATTCGCATAGAATATGTAATGTATCTATTAAATATGAACACGATACAGTATCACAAATATAAGAAAGTGAGAATATCATCGATCCAGTTGATTTAAAGTCTAATTACTTCAACTCAAATTTTATTTTTATTTATTACTTTCATTGGTATAAGTTTTTTATTTTTATTTCTTAATTGATCTTTGAAATGAAATATGGAAATATTATTTTTTAAATTCGTGTTATTTTCGATAATCTTCAATATTTCAATTTTATTTATTTTTTAATTTTTTACATATTAAAAAACTATAAAAAACTAGTTGAAATTTTAATGTAATTGATAAAAATTTTTAATGACCAATGCAATAAGATCAGAAAGAAACAAAAATGTATATTTGTATAATAATTTTTATTATAATCCTTTGAGGAACAATTGATAAAAATAGATTTATCATAATAATATACACATGAGCGATTATATTTATTCATGTTATTCATTTAATTTTCTTTTTCTTTATTGTGTATAAGAATTATAAGGAATAATTCTCATTAAAGTATCAAAAGATTTTGTTTCAGCAAAAATATAAAATACTTTAATGATTTAAAAACATCATTT